GATCAGAAGAGTTCACATGAAGAACGAATCGGCATCGACAAACACTGCATTTAAATCCTATTTTATTACTGTGCTTCGAAGCAATCTGCATGACATATATATTGCTATAATTAAAGGAGACCGTTTCTACATTAATTTGAAGATTAAATGGGAAATTATTACAATATAAAAGTATTTAATAATTATTTTAATGTTAGGTGGGAATAATCGCGATTAATTTCAGAAAAAAAAACATGCAATAAATTAGTTTTAGTTTTTTTTTACCGATTGACATCACTAATCTATTTATTTGTGGGGTTGAATACCACCACTTCTTTTTTCACTTCAAGCACTGATTGTGTATCATATTCACACCAAAGTCCATTTCTGAGTTTAAATCACACGCCAAATAGAAACAGAAAATGGTGCTATTGATACGCATTTTCATTTCTTTAAATGGCATATCTGTCACACATTCTTAGCAGCTCATAATTATTTGTTGTACCATAGTTCTGCCCCTCTCAAAAGTAACAAAAAAGTTTTTAACAAAGTTAATGTAATGACTTGTGCTTGATGATATTTGTCATCTGTTATTCACCTTGATTTATGGAGTAAAGTGGATTTCTTAACTTGAAAATTAAAAGTACTTATGTTAAAATAGCACAGAGCAATAACATATTTTACATCATGCTAATGCATATACAATCTTTGTAATGTAAGTAATAATAAAATAAAGGGACGGTAATTTAACAATATGTTAATGAGTGGTGAATTTTGTACAGTCTTCCAGTTACAACCGTACAACCAACAAAAAATGACTAAATGTAAAAATGACTAAATGTACAACTGGCTCTTTGAGGGCAGCCATAATGTTGAAGTGGCCCTCAGTGAAAATGAGTGTGACACCCCTGATATAGAGTCAGCAGAAATCTGATTTCAGTTCAAAATGAAGTGAAGTGACTTCAGAAAGTGACTTGAGTGAAGCAGAGATATGAGGATGGCACGTCTGTCTGGAGTCTACACTGAGTTTTCTGGACTCGTTTCTAGTGTTTAGCTCTGGATGACCTTTCATTAAAAAGGCATATGTCTGCTATCGTAGGCTCATTTTGTATGTAAGCTATAGACAAGTGCAAACTGGGTGCTTAATGCAAATGTCACATTTACAAAATCAGGTGATTATGTTCGCCCATCTATGCAAATGTCTCTATGTATAGAGACAAAAAAATGAAGTTAATCACTGCCTGTTGCGTCAGTTTAAAGTGATTGTGTATATTTGCAAAGACACCGATGAATGCACCAGAAAACAACCGTGAGCTTTTGGTTTTATTTCTCATCAAACACAAAACAGCTTTAAGCAAATAGTGTTAAATAATAAGGAATTCCAGTTTTAATCCATTTGAATTTTAATCAAAATTCTAATCAGAATTTTAATCAAAATTTTATTTGATTTTTTTTATAGGGACTTTCAAGAACCCAATTAAGAAGGTGGTCACGTGTCATACAGACAGAAATCTGGAAATTGAGAAGCAGAAAGGTAAATGAGTTATTTAGAGAACAAAGTGAATAGATGAGTTTTAAGTTGAGACTCAAAGGTCTGGAGAGAGGAGGCAGCAATGTTTAAGCAGTTTCCTCATTTTAATTGGCTCCACTTCCAAAGATGCACAACTTCAAGACGACTTTTTTAAATGTGTACGCCTGTGCACCAGGAAAAATGCATTTGTTCTCTGGTTTATGAATGCCCTAAAGGCATGCAGCATGATTTATTTTCTCTTGATTTATCATAAACTTGACATAAGTTGTTTTCTCGTGATCTAGACATAACAAAATAGCTGGTGACGTCAGACAGTAAAAAGAAAATAATAACACTTGCCTTCTTCTTAGGGTTTTTTCTGATTGGATTGTTAAAAACGCCTATCCCGGTGTGAACACGCCCTCTAAAAGTTGGCTTACCCACCGCCAATAAACGCTACAAGAAGAAGAAGAAAACGCCCTATTTTTGTTCTTGAGCTGGACGGCTGCAGTCCTGGATTCAGTGAGAGCTGAGTAACAAATCACTCTCAGGAGAAACCCTGAACAAAGAGTCATCAAAGCTTTCGGACGCAGCTGCAGCGATCTTCTGAGGAGAGCTGAGCAGTTCACGGTATTTCTCTTATTTAAACAACTGTAAAACACAATTTACACAGTATGTTTGCAACAATAAACGAGTTAGTTTCTGTCTTGTTTCCATCGTGTTTTCTGACTTCTAAAAGACATTTAGAGCAGCAGGCAGTAAGTAGGTCTATGTGAGGAAAACATGTGAAGTAAGAACTGAGTTTTTGTATGTTCGTGTAAATGATTCGATGTTTGCAGTGATAATGTTGCTGTTAAGTCTCGTGATCTATGAGGGGAATTAATGCGAACCAATATTTATATATACTTTATTATACTTTATAATACTTTATAAAGTATTGCTGCTGCGATTTTATTGATACTCTTTTTTTTTAGATTTTTCTTTGGAAGATCAAATCTGTTTGAGAGATAAAGTTAGTTTTAAGTTCTATATTCCGTGGATAATCGCGTTGTTTAAGGAACCGTCTGCAAATTCCAGTGAAAAAACTAGTATGTGTACTTGTATAAAGACGGGTAATTGAGGTAAATGGTTGAGTATGGCTCTTTTTCTGAGTTCATAAGAAGAGAGGTATTGGCAAAATGTCACATGTATTAAATCAGTCGGGACACCAGCAATGTACTACAAACCTGTTGAATGAAAAATTATTTTGATTATAATAATTAAAGAAAAAATCAACTGTAGAAAGTTATTCTTATTACTAGGAACCTTCTACAAGTTTGTATGTTAATAGGCTACTACTTGGGCAATTTCTACATTTAAAAGCAAATTTGAACTGTGAGACGGTCCCTTAGGCATCATGTGGTGTTATAACGAGTCAAAGCATTCTCAGGTGTAAATGTACAGCTATAATGCACCTTGGCAGTAGTCATGGGCTGGTATGATTGTGACGGTATGATAACCTCAAACAAAAATATCACAGTTCCATGGTATCACACTATTGCAGGTACAGCTCTAAAATGTGTTATTTTTAAATGTCTTGGTAAAAAGAAAAACAAATTTTGATCAGTAGTATTTGTTCATTTCTTCTTTGGTTTGTTTCCTAAAATATCTGCTGAATTGTGGGCTTTTTGCAGCTTTTGATGTGAATGCTTGATTTGCTGCTAAAGCTGCTGCTGCCCTAAAAAGAAGAAAAATAAAGGCTGTCATGTTAATTTAACCTAAATCTGTAAATACAGTTTCATATTAGTTTAACTTTTAATTAAAATATTCTTGCAAAAACGTGTTTTGAATATATATGTATATAATTTCATGTACATAATTAGATTGTATAATTTAATAATAGCCCAATTTGAAGCAAAAACCATGTTTTAAATTCAGTTCAATACAAGTATATTTGTATAGCGCTTTTCACGATACAAATCATTGCAAAGTAACTTTACAGAAAATTAAGTTTCTACTAGGGCTGGACAATAATTCAATATCAATATGTATCGCGATATAATTTTTTTCAATAACGGTGATATGATTTTTAAACACATTTCCGATATTTCGATATACATTACCAGTTTCCCATACATTGATTTATTTGTGGCGTTTGACTTCGTTGAATAAACATGAGCACTGCACGTTTCAAAATCATAACACGGCGCGGGTGTTTTAAATGAATATATCTCTGAAGGGAACCGACTGTCTTCAGAATAGTTTCGATGGCATTTTATCTGATAAAGTAGCGTTCATGAGCGGAGCAGCTTTGTTTACAGCCGTTACTGGAGAAACCGCTAGTTCTGCTGCTCTCACAGCGCCTCCTGCTGGCAGACAAGCAGTTTGCATTTTCAATAATAAACCCATTTCCAGCAACATGCTTTTGTTGTTGCTCTATTTTTCTAACTCGGAGCATGTTTCATACTCGTTATCCTGGTTAACGCACGTTTCAATCTATAAGAATAATCAGCCTACACTACCAGTCAAAAGTTTTTGAACAGTAACATGTTTTTTTTTTCTTTTTTCTTTTTAAGAATTCTCTTCTGCTCACCAAG